TCCTCTCGGTCTCAAGATGAACAACTAACTCCCACAAGCTCCTAAGATTATAGTTCCCTCGCAAGATTCTATCAACCTCTCGGTCTGTTTAGTCTCTTACGTTATGAATTTCCTAATTCTAGCAATCAACTATCTCCTCTCGGTCTCAAGCAAATCACAAATATGCATAAATACGGGCCCTATATTCACACAATTCATATAATCACAAGAAACTGATAAATGAAAGATAGACCGGAATGAATAAACAAAATCACTTCATAAAATAATCCGAGTACTCGCAAATCCTAGAATCTCAAAGAGATTTAGCTACTAAACATATTCTCAATACTCAAAATAAATAAATCCATGAGTTCAATGAAGAAGAAAAAGAGAAAAGAAAGAAGAACTATTGTTGCCGTTAGTTCCCGGATCTTCAATCTTGACTTCCTCGAATCCCCCTGTGTTTCGTGCTTTCCCTAGGCCTCCAATGGTGTCAAAAGTCCCAAAACCGTGTTCTTTATGTTCCTTATATACTGTAGGGCAAATATGGGTTAAAAAAGGGACAAAATCGCGTAGGTTTCCTATTTTCCGCTGGACTGTCTGCGCGTCACACGACTCGTGTCACAAGCCTCACGAGTCGTGTGACTTGTCTTCAATTTTTGGCAAAGTTCCAGGTTCACACGAGCAGACCACACGAGACGTCACACGAGTCGTGTGAGCCCACACGACTCGTGTCATTGGCCACACGACTCGTGTGGGAAAGCCGCACCAAAATCCCACAAAAGCTCGATTTTTTCACCCCACACGACTCGTGTCTCGATCCACACGATTCGTGTGACCTGTCTGCACCTTATTTTCGTCGTTTTTCGTCCCGATTCCATCTTTAACGCTTTTTCGGGCATATTTCCTACAAAACCAACAACAAATATATCTCCATCATAGATTAATAAATTAAACAAAATGGTGCACAAACCCACGATAATCACGGTCAAACATCTCACTATATCACTCATAATGCATGAAAATATGATGAATGTCAGCTATCGCCCTAATAAAAATTAATTCGAATTAGGAATTAAGAGATTCATCATTCGAAGGGAAGTAGACTACTCAAGAATTTCACATTTCATTTATGTCAAATTCGAATCACGAATATCGAATTCGAATATCGAATCGTATAAAAAAATTGATTTGTTTACAAGTAACGCCTAGTCGGGCCTAGAAATCAATATTAAATACCTTAATTTTTTTATTTATTTTCCACAAAATAAAATTATTCGACTTACAATAAATAAAAAAACCTAAGTCTGAAATAATAATATTAATGTATCATAAAGAAAACATGATAGCAAAATAATGTAATTAGTATTTAAAAAAATAAAAAAAAAATTGACAAACTGCAGTCGAGCCCGCCTAAGAGCGCCTAGGTGCGCTCAGCCAGGCGACTGAGTTCACCAAGCCCACCTAGGAGCGAAGGCCCGACTAGGCGCCGCCTAGCCTTCTGGCTGGATTTTTAGTCGATTTATGTAAATCGTAGGCAGCCGAGTTGCGCTTAGCGCCTAGGCGTCGCCTATGTCGAATTTTAGACCAGTGATTAAAATCACTTCCCTCCCTCCGTTGAACCAAACATAACTTAGGGGTGGGTCTGTATACTGTTGTGTACAAATTGTTATTTACCGAGTACCAAATCAAAAGATTCGTTTCCCAGGTCGATCTCACGAGGAAGGTTGGCCGGATTATTATGCACGTTTATTCAAACACAAAATAAGAGAAATCAAGTTCTTAAACACTCTAATTCAGTGGGTTCATATTTGATTATCAACTACGAATTTTAAATTAAAACAAGACGCACTACAATTTCCAAACAAAAATCAAATGATGTTGAGGAAGTTAGGGAATCAGAGATACTCATATTTGGTTCTCAAACAATTACTAAGCGCATAACCGCTCAGTTAAGAGATCAAATAACATACTCGTTTAGAGGTGTGTTCTCAATAACTCTTCGTAACAAGAGAACAAACATGAACAATCTACTATCTAAATAATTAACACATAGACAATACATTAACGAACAAACCTACTCTAAACGAGCCACGTTCAATCAATTTCTCCCCTTTCTGTTCTAAAAATTGATTAATTAGATTAGAATGATGATCAAGCATCTAACCATAGATTAAACACAACTCGAATAGATTGAACGATAAGCAAGCATACATGAATCTCAATCGAACCAAAACGAATATCTCCTATCCCCAACAAAACAATTTACCCGCACAGGTTGATATCAATCACAACAAAGGATTCAACACCATAATTCATATTCATAATTAAAGGAAAGGAACTTACGATTAATCCAATTTCTGAACGAAATCAAAATACAAGTCGAATCGTGTTCATCTTGGAGTGTCACAATCCCCAAAAATAGAATCCCGAAGAGAAACAAAGAGAAAAATTGTTTGAAAGTTGAGATAAATCAAGTCTGACGATGAACAATCTTGAACCCTAAGCTCTTCTCCCATAAATAATGAATAAATTCAAAATTTAAAAGATCCAGCGCCGCGGCGCGATGATGTGGCATTCGTGAAGCTTGCCGCGGGGAGTGATCGCGGCGCTGAGGATCCAAACTGCTGCGGCGCGAGGCTTGCCGCAGCATGGCACCTGGGAGACGTCGACCTCTTTGTCGACCCGTTAGAAGTGTAGCGGCATGAGAGAGTAAGAGTGCTGCGGAGCGAGGCCCGCCGCGGCGTGGTGACTGGAAAGAGCCGTCTGAAGGCCAGTTAAGGGCTCTGCGTGCTTCGTCACGGCATGAAGGAAATGAAGCGCCGCGACGTGGGACCCTTCGCGGCGTGGTAACTGGAAAAAGTCGTGCAGTTTGTACAACCGGGACATGTACTTTGTATATTCGAGACAGCTTGACTGGATAAACTCCAAACATCTGGTCAACGATCCAAACCTGCACACCTCCAAGAACAAGAAAACACATGAAAACGAAGAAAATAATAGAAAATACGAAAATAGAGAAACAAAGCGACACACACGAGACAAATGACTGGAGGACAAAAAATCTAACAAAAATCTATACTAAAAAATCCTATCAAAAGACCTAAAACGAGGGAAAAATCAATAAACTAACAAAGAAAAAGATAACAATAGGACAATATATACCAAATATTCTGATCTTTACTAAAAATCTAACTCAACTTTAATTCAATCTCATTATTTTCAATATTATCAATACAATTAGATAATGCCAATTAATATTAATACATCACATCAACTTTAATTTATAATGTATTCTCTTACATAATTTTACTAACAATCACTTCATATCATTTCTTTCCCACTTTAACATTAAATCAACTTTAATTATTTTATTTTAAATATTTTCTAATATAAAATTAAAATTCCACTAATAACTAAATATACCACTTTTT